CAGATCCTGAGATGAACGCAGAAGAACAAAACGGCAAAAAATATTCATGCAAATTTGTTTTAAAAATGGTTTAAAACTGCCAGAAAAAAATTAATGGAATTTTTTTTTTTTTTTACACCTTTTCAATAGCTCTTTAAAGATTTCACATCACAACTATTTGCTGCACAACACAGTCCATTCCACAAAGGTGATGAAACTATTTCTAAATGTCAATAAACAGCAGAGGAAACCAGACGCCTCCTGAGCAAAATGTTACAAACGCTGAACTGTAAAAGAAAAAAGGGCACAGACAACGCTGACACCATGGGAATGCTGAAAATTGAAAAATGACTTTGACACATTAAAATCCCATCCGAGAACAACATTTAATGATTGATAAAGTTCAGCTGTACACTGGAATGTGTGAACTGCAATTGACTGAGTGAATATTTCTGTGTGTGTGAGTGTGTACCTCGTCGCTGGGTGTCACAGGCGTGGAAGATAGTATCGAGCAGATTCTCTTCACAGATCAGACTGATTTCTGCCATATTCTCCTTCCTGTTTTCTGAGGTCGATGAGGATCCTAAGCCACACACACACACACACACACACACACACACACACACACACACACACACACACACACACACACACACACACACACACACACACACACACACACACACACACACACACACACACACACACACACACACACCACACACACACACACACACACACACACACACACACACACACACACACACACACACACACACACAACACACACACACCACACACACACACACACACACACACACACACACACACACACACACAACACACACACACACACACACACACACACACACACACACACACACACACACACACACACACACACACACACACACACACACACACACACACACACACACACACACACACACACACACACACACACACACACACACACACACACACACACACACACACACGGTCTATTCAGCTGCATAGCAAACACATGACAAAATGTCCTTCAGGCTCAGTGATGGTCAGACACTCAACACATAACAAAGTTACATAAGACAAGTTACTTTAAGGCTACACTTGACCATTTGGAAGATGGCCTTCATTTAATCATAACCCTATTTCTTTCTTGTCTTGTTTATGCTGAATTACGACCTCATCATAGGTTTACAATAGAAACATTTATTTGAAAATGTATTTATAATGTAATCTAAAAACTGAACACATGTTCTAGTTTTAAAGTAGATAACAACAAACAGACTTTAAAAAAAGAACATAATTGATACCAAGAACATTGAAGGCTTTAGAATTTGTTTCTCCTGGTTCTCCAGGTTCCTCATGCCAGGACTGACCTGGGGAAACTGCTTTTAGTGTTAGTGCAGCAAACTCCTGGAACATTTTACAACAGGACCTGAATTTGAGCACTTTAATCCCTTATGGACACTTTAGAAATATTATTTTTAACCGCCCAATACCTGACTGTAACTGTTTTATTTGATTTTAATTACTGACTTATCACTGTAGTCATTTCAAGCTTTTAAATTATTTTAGTGTATATATTTTATTGTTCTTATTGCTCTTTTATTGATTTTATTTTCTGTGGTAGCTTTATCTCATTTCTCGTTGTTTATCATTTATGTATGTTTTCTCTGCATCGTTGTAAATGAGGGTCGCCCTCAATGATCTCTCCGAGAAATTAAATAAAGATTGATGATGATGATGATGATGATGATGATGTTTGCTTTGCAGGTCAGAAATGAAGCCCTGCTATAGTCCAAGATTATGCATGTACAATTTGTCTTTTTAGCACCAATTTCCTTCCCATGGCGTTAGGCTGGAATATGTCAGTAGCTCTTTAAGATCAACATTTACCAATTACTCTCCGGTCCTCTGTTTTGAAAAATCATGACTGTAGGCTACACAGCAAACAACTGCTGCAAGAGGTGGCAAGATGTGGCTGTAAGAGCCCTGGCAAATGAATGATTTAGGCTTTTAGTAAGGCTAGACAGCCATTATCAAGAGGTACTTTCACAACTTTTCTTTTTGTGTTTGCATCAAGTATGATGCTACAACAAGCTGGGCCTGCAGCAGCTTTTCTCTTACCTCCATCTCCCATGGACAGTCTTTTCACAACCAGAGCCGGATAGTACAACTCGCACTCTGTGGATTTCTCCGTGTCTGCTGAGCAGAAGTTCAGGTTGTAAGAAAGGGTGCTGTTGTGTGGTGTGAAGGTCCGAGACATGGGGGGGCTCCTACTGGGCCTCACGCTCTCCGGCTGCACGGACTGAGGTCCCTGAGTGAATGTAAAGTAAGGGGACTCTTTGGACTGGCCCGCAGGCGTCGAACAATACCTCTGCCATGTCTTCACTTTGCTTAAATCACTGCCATCAGCACCTCTCCTCTCTCCCATGGTGCTTGTGATAGTGTATGTCACATTAACAGGCGTGGAAGGATTGCATGTTGGGGTGGAGGGAGGAACAGAAGGACCTCGACTGCTCCTCTGGGAAGCTGCTGGGTCCTGCTTACCCATCCCTTTCCCCTTCTCCTTCTCGTTATCCGTCCCCCTCTCGTTTCTGTGGAGGGCCCCCTTCTTCAGGATGGCTTCCAGGTTGTGCCTGAGGCCTGACTGCGGGCTGTCGTAACTATTGGAGGAGAGTTTGGGAATCTGGAACGGTGAATTTGGCTCTCGGTCACCACACCTCTGAATGGTCTGCAGTTTACGGCAGATGCTGTCCACAGGATTATGGCGACGATTTGACTGCGGTGTGTAATAGTCCATGCTGCTGACGGCAGGCTGAAGTCTGCACAGGGTGTAGAAAAAAAATACTTTAAGATTGTTAAAAGTGAAAAAGAACACAGAAATGAAAACAAAGATAAACCATGGTTAGCAGGCGATGTGGTTAATACTGCATAACAACATTGTGAAGAAGATAATTTGCATATTCTGTTGACCTGACTAACCCCAAGGTAGGAAACAGAAAATAATTAGCAAATCTTGGACAAACAGAGAATACTATGGAATACTGAGACCAATATAAAGAGATTTGATATGAAAGAAGACAGCTGAAGGAAACACCAAGCCATGTTTTATGGGATAACCTGGGTCAAAATTAAGATTAGCCCAATAGCCAACTTTAAATTCTGAAAATAGAAGCGACTGTTCGGGGAAACCAGACCACGCCACGGTTTGCAAATGTATAAAAACCTGGCTTTACACGTGCCAAGATAAAACCTAATGTGTTCAAATTTAACAATAACATCGCCTTCATAGGCTCCAGGTGCGCAAACGAGCTCATTAATTCAGTTTAAACACAAAAAAACACTATTTATGTTTCTCAATCAACAACTCCATGCATTTGAAATAAAAACATGAAAAAATAAATCACAGAATTTTACAACAGCTAATTCTTAGAATTATCTACAGGCCTTATTTTAAAAAAAGATAACTAAACTAAATTCCTATAAGACTCGTTAAAGGAGAGAAGACTGTCAAGCAGCGTCAGACAAACGACGGTCATCAAATATTATTAACTAAACAAACACACCTGACCAACGAGTCTACCAAACACCTTCTCAATGTTTCTTTCAAATAATATTTTTTTTTGCCAGCTGGAGATATATTTGAGTTACCTTGCGACGCTTGCGTGAGCAAATCTCCACGACCAAATGTTTGTACGACGAGCACGCGCACAGGTAGCTCGAACAAGCTGATCGCTCGAGCCACAAAGAGTTCAAACTTCAGTGGGTGTTCAGGACTCCAAAAACTGAGCCAGCATCTCCACCCTGTGGTCTGAACGACACACAGCACTCAATACACCGCGCTACAGGAAAAGTTTAAATATATGATCCTGTGCGGTACATGGACTATAGTCACAAATATCAAATAAATGATGACGTAAGGATTGTCATTGTTTTTACTTTGTCCCTACGCAGGATGAATCCCCCTTTCAGTGGCTCACCAAGCCTGTTCTTACACCATAGACTGTAAATATTACTTATTACTCTCACAAAGAAAGGCCATGTTGCGTTTAAGGTCTGTAAAATAAAAAATAAAGCCTACTAGTAAACAAACCAAAAAAACAAAAACAAAGCCACGTCTTCCTATCAGACAGTGACTATGATATTGTGACACCGACACACTTAACATCACAGCAGATAAACAACATAAACTGTGTTGAAATATTAATTGGGTACGCTTGGATGTTTGTTGTCATGACAACCCAATAATGGGACTGGTTTCAACCCAGGCACTCAGTAAGCGGTTTAGCAGGTAGGAACTTCAAGGTGCTCAGTCGGTGTTTAACTTCCTTCACAGCGACGATAAGGTCAGACCTCTTTTCAGCTCTGAGGGAAACTTTCCACATCGACTAGCCCTATTGACTGGGGATTCTAGCCTTACTGATAACGCAGATTGTGTGGAATAGAGAGTAAGTATACAATATTGGAACCCAATTTTAGAACGTCTAAATTACCGATAGACTTATAAAGTTATAATGCATTATCACTTTTTGGCCTGTAAATCCATGTTGTTCATGAAGGCCAGTGACATTCAGTTATTACATGACCTTTGTATGTGGACAATAGGGGGTATAATAGGAAATTAGCTTTGATGATGTTTTACATTTAACTAAAACATTTCATGAGTTAAAACTGAATTGTGGTACTTTGGAGAGTGACAATACTGATGGTGTTTATATTTAGTTCAATAAAATAATTTGTCATTTGAAATGCCTTAATGAATATTATAACAATAGGACATGAATATGAGTTATTTGACAACAGCTTGTTTTATGTGTTTCATCTATTTCAGCAGATAAAAATACCTTCCTTATGCAATGATAACATCTTATTTTTATTCATTTATTTGTACATAGCAGTTGTTAAGATGTTTTTTTTAAGAATATGCGTTTGAATGAATAGTGTTATTGTACTGTTCCAATTTTTAAAATGTTTTATTTTTTTAAGGGAATCTGCTTCATTTCCACCCTCCAATGGCCGACAACGTCATTCCAAGCTTTAAGGTACTGAACTGTGTAGTAGCTATTAGGTTTGTAGAATGGACTGAATAAGTGTACCTACCCTCAGTAGCTGCTCCAGCTGCAGCATCTTGATGATTCCTTGGCTTCCTGACACTTAAAAATCCTTCGTCTTTCTCCACATAGAAGATAGCCCAGCGCTGCTTATTGTCCTCATGTTGCAAAGTGCTGCACTGAAGAGCTGCTTGCTTGTTGTGGAAACAAAACATGTGAAAAACAAATCTAGAAGATATTCCAGCGTTTCAGTACGTCCACTTGCTGACAAGCCTTTTCCAAGGCTTTTCATTCATTTAGCCTTTAACTTGCCTTTAACAGAATAAACTGCATGTTGTTGCTATTTTTTCTTTGAAATGACACAACCAGTGTCCATTCCTGTACTTGTGCTCAGCACAATCCACTTTCCCAGCTCACGCTAAGTAGCTGGAGCTTTGCTTGTTTTCTGACCCTGAGTGCCTGACCAGTAGACAGCAGGCTCAGGTACAGATTATGTGTGGACATGTGCAGACACACACACACACACACACACACACACACACACACACACACACACACACACACACACACACACACACAGACACACAGACACACAGACACACACACACACACACACACACACACACACACACACACACACACACACACACATACATACTGTACACTCACAAGGATGGGCATTGGCTTGGGTCTGGGATGTGGCTATGCTTTCCCTTTCATTGTTAATTTAATCCGTACTTGATCTGATCCCTGCCAAAACACTTCCTTGCAGGTGACCATGAATAGGGATTATAAACCATTATGTGGACAGAATGCTCATAAAATAAGAATTTAGATTTTTTTTAATTTAATTGTGAAATGTCAAAAATAAATTTAATCCAAAATGACATGAAAATTCCTATCCATGGCTTTTTATTAAAAAAAAATGAAAACCAAACATTAGCAGAGGGAAACCTTTTAACCTATATGTTTAAAGAAATCCTATAATGAATATGAGCACTTGATAAAAGACTTCAAAAGCAACCAAAGACATAAAAGTACTCTAGATTATGCATTACTTTCACATCCTGTTGTCACGCCCCACTCTCCAGCACTGTAATCTGGGATTATGTCACAAGCAGCCTTCTGCACCCTGAAGGAGAGGATGACGAGTCTGTTTAATCCCAGACAATTGGAGCAGATAACTAACTCAATGTCTTACCTTTAAGAGAAGTATGTTTCAAAGAAGGATCGTATTACTATCCTGCAGAACAGCAGGAAAGGACAGCAGTCACTCCTGATAAATATGACACATATTTCCCAAACTGCACACAAATCATTATGGGATAGACTGGGTGCTTTATATTAAATGATTTCAAGGCTATTTGATGCTCATGTATTTGAGGGGAGTGGGGAGTGACAGCTTGGATACACATACAGAAAACTTTAGATCACATTTCCTCTCTAAGGCCTAGTCCCATTTTACCTCTTAGCCCTACCCCTACATCTTGTGTATTCACATTTAGGGGTAGGAGGTCCCGATTCATGTTGCAGGGGAGGGGTATGGTGAAGTGTTAGGTCTACACACACCTTCAGACAGCCTCTCTAGTCTCATTGAAGTTGCAGCGTCATGAATCTGTTGTCTGGTTTTACAGCATTAGAGGTCAACTGTTCACATTAGAGCAGGTCAAACATGAGGTTTGCTTGGGACGTTTTTCTTAAACCTGTAATAATTAACATTTTGGTCAACTGGAGGGAGCAAAAACAAGTTCACCCTGACACATCATCCTATCATTCAATTGATTGTATAACATGTTGGCAGTGGTTTCTTATTAACCATGCAGGCTGTCACAGTGCATTTTATGTAGCTCTGTTTTTTGTATCTATAAACCCATGAGAAATATTTTTCTTTATTATCTGATAAATTAAAACAACTGCGTGGATTGGTTCATAAGTTTAACCACTACAAGCTCCTGAGAGACATGTTTGGTTTGCATTTATTTTTATGCTATAAATAGCGTCAATTGGAATGATTTGCTCTTAGGAAAAGACTTGCAGGAGGGCAGTCAAATATTCTCAAGTAAAGTGCATAGTGTCATCACAGAATTTTCTCGGAAGTTTAAGTATAGGAATAAAAAGAACAGTCTTCCCTGGATAAATGCAGATATTTTAAACTTATGAAAGAGCGAGATCTGGCACTGAAAATGACCATTAAGACCAGATTGTTCCACGACAAATTTCATTTTGCCATGTTAAGAAATAAGGTGATAACAGGGTTGAGGAAGGCTAGGGCTGATTTTTTTATGACAATAATTAATGAGGCGAGGGGAAATTCTAAATTAATATGGAGTCAGTTAAAAAAGCTCCTGGGTCAACAAACCAAAGCAGGAAAACAAATTGAACTTAGCCTGAATGGAAACCTGACTAAGGACCCAGCTGAAGTAGCTGGAGCTCTTAAACGATACTTTGTCGATTCTGTAGCAACTATTGCACAGAGCTTCTCTGCTAAACAGGTTAATCTGTGCTTGGCAAACAAAACAGAGCCAGCTTTACATTTTAGTAATGTTAATAAATCAAAGATCACAGTAATTATTAGATCCCTCAAGCCATCAAAAGCAAAAGATGATTTTGGGATGGACACAACAATGGTTAAGGATCTTGGTGCAGCATTAGCCCAACCCATCATCAAAATCATTAATCTCTCAGTATCACAGAGTGAATTCCCAAGGGTGTGGAAATCTGCCGTTATTTCACCAATTTACAAATCTGGTGATCCCCATTCACCCTGCAATTATAGGCCCATCAGCATTCTTCTGATTATGTCTAAAGTTGCAGAGAAATGGGCAGCTGAGCAAATTATACATCACCTGAACAACAGCTCTTATCACTTGCATCCAATGCAGTTTGGATTCAGATCCAACCACTCAACAGAGACAGCTAATTGCTTCTTCATTGAAAAAATCAAATCACTGCTAGATAACCGTGGCATTGTTGGTGCTGTCTTTCTGAATCTCAGAAAAGCATTTGACACTGTAAATCACAGGGTTCTTCTATCTAAGTTATCCACCTTTAATTTCTCTGCTGATGCACTTAAATGAGTAGAATCATATCTCTCCAACCGCTCTCAAAGTGTGCTTGATTATCAATCTGACGCCCTCTGCTTGTCCACTGGTGTTCCGCAGGGATCTATACGGGCCCACTTTTATTCTGATGTATGTAAATGACCTGCCCTCTGTGTGTCCTGAGGTTAACATTCAAATGTATGCTGACGATACAGTTTTTTATGTGCATGGTTTAACAAAAGCAGAAGTTGCTTCAAAACTAACAACCGCAATGGTCAAAATTACAGCATGGCTTAATCAGTGCTGTCTCCAACTTAACATGTCTAAAACTGTTGGTATGTTCTTCACTAAAACAAATGATTCAAACATAGATCCAGATATACTTGTGTCAGGAGAAAAACTACACATTGTAAAGTAATACAAATACCTTGGCATTATATTTGACTCCAACCTGAACTTTAAAGCACATGTAAAAAAAATCTGTAAACAAATTAAATTTAACCTTGCCAACTTCAGATTTATCAGAAACTCCATGTCCACTGAAGCAGCCAAGATGTACATGCATTCAATGATTTTCTCATATATGACCTACTGTTTGACTAGCTGGTCTCAGGCAAGTCACACCACATTAAAACCACTACAGTCTTTGTATAAACAGACAGTAAAAGTTTTAGACAAAAAAAACAAAACAATTCCACCACTGTTCAATCCTCAAAAAATACCACCTCCTGAGCTGGGAGAACATGATTAAACAAAAAAATGCATGCCTCCTTTATAAAATCACCACATGGTTTGGCCCCTCCCCTACTCAGAGAGTTTGTAAGCATACGAACAAACACATATCACTTCACGAGGGGTGTCTCAAGAGGTGACTGCGTTATTCCTCTAAGGAAGTGTGCTTTTAGTCAGTCTGCCTTTTCTGTTACAGCCTCACGTGAATGGAACAACATCTCAACAGTTATCAGAGATAGCAACACATATCGTTCATTTAGTTCATATCTGAAACACTGGCTATTTGATAGCCACATCTGCCAGCACTAAACCTGTTCCGCTCGCTGCTGCCATCTTGTGTCTGGTTGTTGGTGAATGTGTCCTGTTTTTTAAATGAATGTGGCCTGTGTGTTAATTGTCTGTTGAGGTGAGCTTCAGGTATAGCTCACTCAATGTTTTATATGTGGCCTTGTGTAATTTGTACGTGTTTTTTGTATATAGTGTTACATGTTGTCTTGTTGTGTGCACGTTACATTTACTTTAGTAGGTTATTGGATACATGCTTTTACTAATACTTGTTTTTGTAGCTTTTAGCAATGTTTGAATTTGTTTTGTTTTTTTAGGGAGCCTCTTATAAAATCTGGCCAGGGACAACAGATGAAAATTTGCCTTTTCGCTAACTCTGGCATATTTACTGAAATGTTTATTAATATGCAATGTCCCTGTAAAATAAAAATAAATAAATAAATAAAAAATTTGTGTCCCCTGTGGACAAAGACAGCTCTTTTTTTTACAAGAAATCCCATCCTGATGTATTTTAACAGTCATAACTATCACCCATCGAGAATCTTGCCTTGGAAAACATAAAGAAGTTCCTGCAGCATGCTTTCTATCCCTTTGTCAGACAGCAACCCCAGACAGCTGTTTCAGGCATTAGAAGTGACATTATAAAAAATTCACACAGGATCTTTAAATTAGTCAACAAAGAGGTGCAATTGTTAGAACTCTCAACATCAGCAAGAAGGCCTGAGGGTTTAACTACGGTAGCTTCTTCTTTCTTTCAATTGTTTTTTTTAAACAGGCAGCAGATCTGGTTATCCAGCTGTCTTCCACTCCGAAGACCAAACCTGAAGTCTCCACCTTTGGGTCCGTCTTCACTGACCACATGCTGACCATCGAGTGGAGTGGGACTGAGGGCTGGCAGGCTCCACTTATTAAGCCCTTTGGGAACATGTCCCTCCATCCAGCCTGCTCATCACTACACTATGGTGTTCAGGTACACCGACCAGAGATAAGTCAACCTTTAAATGGACTTTTATGCGGCTCTTTAGCATAATAAGATACCAAGATAATCTATTTTTTTTTCTTAAACAACCTTGCCTACTTGTATAAGAATAAACATTGAATTCATGAGAACAGCTTTTAATGTGACTGCATGCTCCATCAGAACTTGCAACGATTGAGGTATTATGTAGCCAATCAGTTAGTCAGTTTATATAATTTACAGCATATAGCAGAAAATCACAATAAAAGTCATTGCATGATACTTTACATATAGAGCAGGTCTGGATCATACCCTTTGTTATATTATTCAATGAGACTCAACATTACTGCACCATGTAAGAACTGGGCAACAGACGCAGGGAAAACCCGTCTTTGAACAGGCCGAAACCTCCTCCAGTACAACCAGACTATTTGGTGGACAGCAATCTGCTACCCCTGATAAAATCATTCAATCAATAAAATATGATAATAATACCAGAAGTATGGCTAGACAGAGAGACAATGACTGAATGCATATGTATTTGTTGTTTCTGTCCCAACTCACCACTCTTGTTTAAACACTTGTTCAGTTCATTATTTAGCATTGTGATTTTCTCTATTCATCATATCATCTTTCTTTAAATCCTCATATGTTCTTTTTCATTCCTTCTTGTTTCCTAATTTTCTCACCAGCTGTTTGAAGGCTTGAAGGCCTATCGTGGGGATGACAACTATCTGCGCCTCTTCAGACCGATGCTTAACATGAATCGCATGTCCAAGTCTGCTAAGAGAGCTTGTCTCCCTGTAAGACTTTGAGAATTTGAGGAAGGAATGACTGGTTGAATGGATGGACTGAGGAAAGGAAAGCTGACAATGATGAACAAATTACTGTTTTTAAATCATAATAAATTCAACCCAATGTTTCCACTTTTGATATTTCATCTTTTGACAGCCATCCCACTTTCTCTACTTTTTATATCCCACTTTCCTTCTCCAGACTTTTGATCAGTCAGAGTTCCTGGAGTGTATCAGGCGTCTGGTAGAGATTGATCAGGACTGGGTTCCTTACTCAGACTCAGCAGGACTGTACATAAGACCAACATTTATTAGCACTGAGGTAAGGCCGACTGTCAAATACTGCAATCATTTTCTAAGCTTTTTTTTTTTGGAATAAAATGTCACTGCATGTATTAATGTGTCTATGGTAGCCCTCTCTGGGTGTGAAGAAGCCCAGCCACGCCTTGCTGTATGTGATCTTGTGTCAAGCGGGGGCTTATTTCCATAACGAGGCAGAAGCTCTGTCCTTGTGGGCCGACCCAAAGTACACACGGGCTTGGAAAGGAGGAACTGGAGACTGCAAGATGGGAGGGTGGGTATGCATACTGTATGCATGTTATGTGATGCATGCAACAACAAGGGGTACATACCTACGTAGTATCTCAGGGCTGTTGGGAAAAAAAAGTATTCATGATAGTTAAGTTTGTGTCTTATTTTCTGCAGGAATTACGGATGTTCTTTGCTGGCCCAGTATGAAGCAGTGGATTATGGGTGTCAGCAGGTGCTGTGGCTCTATGGAGAGGACCACCAGATCACTGAAGCAGGGACCATGAACATCTTCCTTCACTGGATCAATGAGGATGGAGGTTAATCACAGAACTAGAATGTAGAAAGTAGAGTGGAAGATTTACAATTAAACCTTTTACAATCCTGCCCTCTTCTGGTGAAACAATGTCTCTACAACATCCAAACAAATATTCAGTCAATTCCTCTTCTAAATTCTTGTATTTTTTTTGTCTTTGTCTAATTACTTACTCTTTTTTTCAGAGGAGGAACTTGCTACCCCACCGTTGGACGGCATCATACTTCCAGGTGTTACCCGGCAGAGCATCCTGGAACTAACCAGGAAATGGGTGAGAAAGACACGATGATACAACATGCATTGATCATTCTTCCAAATTAGGCATCATATTTCCTCTGGTCCTTTCCTCTGTCCTCGTTGTCTAGGGTGAGTTTAAGGTGACAGAACGCTACCTGACCATGAGCCAGCTGTGCTCCGCACTGGAGCAGCAGCGCGTCAGAGAGATGTTTGGCTCTGGAACGGCGTGCATGATCTGCCCCATAGGACACATTGTGTATCAGGGGACGGTGAGTAAGGGTAGCACACATCCACACACACATTATCTATCTGCTCAATAATTAGAACCAAAAACCATAATATTAAATTACATAACAATTTTAACCAGAAAGTATGTTTGTCTCAGAATAAATATGTCACATACATCTTATAATGTAGTTAAGCTTTGTATTGTGTAGAAAACAAATAATGGTATAGTCTTATTATATCACAATGTGCTTTTTTTACTTTCTATTATTTCCCATGTAAAACACTTTAAATTGGCTGTATCATTTTCCTCTACTTGTTCTTTCCTAAAAACTCAATCACTTTCTTCTTAAGAATAAGAACATAAGACCAAATGAAATTTGAAATTCTGATCAATCTGACTGGTTCAACATCCCAGAAGAATGTGATCCCAATACTCCTCACATTTCAAGACTTAAATCTTAAGACCTTAGCTTTATGTCGTCATTTACCCTCTCATCTGCTGCATGCTAACTCCGAGCTGGAAGTTAAAGTTGGCTGTCTTTATTTGATTAAAAATAAATGACAAAGAAGTTAAATGTGAACAGTGTTCAAACTTTCAGTTCTTTGATGAATGAGGCACATGGTCTCTCGTGAAAACGCGAAGAGTTTACATCTTTAGAAATCTGTTTTAACCCTGTGGCTGCTTGTTTTAATGTCGTTATGTGTTGACTTAACATTCTCTATGTTTCTGTAATTTCATTGTACAAAGTGTACACACTGAGCTGATTGAATTATTGTTTTATGTGTTTTTAGGACTTGCATATCCCTTGTCAGGATAAAAACCCACAGCTGACTGTAAGGATAGCGAAAGAACTCACAGATATACAGGTAGGTGGAGGCAAAGACACACACACACACACGCATGCACACACACACACACACACACACACACACACACACACACGCACACACACACAGACACACACACACACACACACACACACACACACACACACACACACACACAAACACAAAAACTATTTGTGCTCATATCCAGACACACCAGCTCTCCACAGATGTTTCTCCTGGTTGAGTAACAGCAGGTTGAACATCTGTGTTTTTTATTCTCTTCATTTAAAAAACACAAGTCATTTAATAATGTGATTGTAGGTGAAACACGCCTACAAAAACACTGAAGTGGAATTGGAAGTAGCTGTGGTTATAATAATAATAATAATATTAATAATAATAAGTTATAATGCCCTGAACATTTATACTTATTCTTATTGCTAACACATTTATTAACCAACACTTAGGATACAACCCAAAAAACTGTTTACTGAATGAACAGATAAAAGGCAAATTTACTTAAATTTATTGTATTTCTATAATTACATAACAGGGCTTTAATCCAGCGGTTATTATCTATCTCAATTAGATCAAAGCATTGGGTTTTTGTATTATGAACAAACACCCATTGGTCCTTATTTATCGTACACTCAGTGAATGCATTATCCTTCCTGTAAGTAGAAAATAAGTGAAATGTCTCATTAGGTAATGAGTAATGGCTTGGTAATGTTGTGCATGGCCTACAAACACACCACCTCTACAGTCTACGCAGCGCTGCAGATTTAAACAGATTCATGTTTTTGCTGAAGGCTCGATTAGAGTTAAAGTGCATGTTATGTATCGCTGACTTTTTGTTTATTGTGCTGTGTAATGAGCCTATTATTTCTAGGGGTATGAGCTGGGAAAAGCCATAATATGTCTGAGATCAGACTAAGAAAGTCTTCTTCAAACCTTTAGCTCATACCACTAAACTTACTTTTAGTTTTTTCTTTTTTAACAAATAACTCAAAAGTAATTTCATTCAGCATTTCATTAAACATTTTTAAACTTTGCTGCTACTTTCATTTACACACATGATGTAATTATCGATTTTTTTAAATTATTGTTATTGATTTGAAGTCAGTTGAGTATTTACAGTTTTTTCCAATTGCTAACACACTAAAATGACATGCATAGCACAATTATTTAAACTGACACACAGAGAGCAAAACCTCTTCTCAAGTCTCCAAAAGTCTAAACACATTTTCTGCTTTACACACATTTTGCAATTCAAAATGGCACTTTTTAAATGCACTGAACACGGTTCTCTGCATAAGACACAACAATCTGACATAAAGTCACATGTTTGCCATTTCAAAACATTGCCATTCAAAATGACACTACATGAACTAATTGGCCAATATATGTGCCACCTGGCCAAACATCTCAATGGTTAATGATGTTCAATCAGGAAGTAAACACTATGAAAAGACCACAAGTGAGCACCTTTTTTAAAAAAACAAAAAGGGAAGAGATTGCAGAGAGAGGAAGAGGGAGGGTAAGAATGAGAGGGGGAGGAAGAGTGAGAGGTAGGGGTAGAGCTAGTAGAGGAGTTCATGGCCAAAGAAGAAAATAACTTTCAAATGAAATCAGAGCAACCTTCGTTGATCATGTCATCAACCATGGGCTGACAATGTGTGAGGCTGGACAGAGAGTGCAGCCCAACTTGAGCCGTTTTACTGTACTGGTATATGTAGCACTGACTTGTTTGGTGAAAAATAAAAAAATCAGCATGTGTGTGCATCTGCTAATATTTCTGTGCATGTGAACAATCTGAATAATTTTCTACAATTAGAATTATTTTAGCATTATGGCAAAGCATACTAAAGATGAGAGTGCTTTTCATTATGCCCAACAGTGTGTAGTTAGTTAGACAAAAATCTGGTAATATGAATGAAGTGTGTGCCATTTGATTCAAAAGTTTGATTTTGATAATGCTATATATAGTTTTGGTTGCAGTGCTTCATTTTGCAGGATATATGAGGTATTTTGAAGTTTGGGTGTGTGGTTTTGTGAATTGTGTTAAGTATTTTGATAAAACCAGCCTAGTTTGCAAAATTGTGTTTTAGCAATTGGAAAAAACTGTAAATAGTATACTACTTTATAGTGACAGATATCATACCTTATTCCACCTTCAAAATGTAAAGGTAGTACTTTGAATGTTATCACGATTATTTGGAAACTGAAATGCCTTTTCAAATGAAGATTTTACCCAAAAAGCATTCAAATAATTTTAAAGAAAAGTCATTATATTGTAAACAAGATGGTATCTGATATGGGCTTTACTGTTAGAGGTCCATCACATCCAAAGGAATGCACCCATGCATAAGCATTAAGAACCACCACCCCCCCCCCACCACCAAAGAAAAGGAGAAAACTGTTCTTGTGCTTTTTATGCTGCATAACATTTTATTCTCAATCTCAAGTCACTTTCAAGACATTTAATACATTTGCAATACTGTGTTAAGCCTAAAGTCAGCACAAGAAGCCATTCTCATATTTGCATATGAAAGTCTCAATTCAGGTGGAAGTGGTCCAAAACTGAATGCCACAGAGCAGACAGGCAACCCTATAGAGATCAAATCAGATTTAATGATGGGTGGTAATGAAATTCATTTGAAAATCATGATCCAGTTAGAGTTCAATAGATTATAAAGTGGGTTATGATTAGAGATTGACATGTTGCTACCACAGAGACCTGAAAAGTGTCTTGTACAGCGGGCAGACAAGGTTCAAATCTGACCTGTGGCTCATTTCCTGCATTTCGTTTCCTACTCTTTCCATCCCTGATTTCCAACTCTATCCACTGTAAAATCTATCCAATAAGGACATAAAAAGCCCCAAAATACATCAAAATGAAACAATTCTTGCTACGACTGGATGGTTTATATCATATAGTATTATAATTTATTCCAAGTAATTTGATTGGACAAAAGGTAGTTCATGCGTTCTTATGTAAAGCACAAAACATACAAATGTACAAACAATTTAAGTAAAGCTGTTTTGTGGTATTGAAAAAGTTGGAGAGCACATGTTATGGCCGCTCCACAACTTGTCTGTTAACAGCAAAGTTGTGGAGCTCGTTGAGTTAGTTGAGACAAAAATAATAGATGTTTTCTTTGACTGCTATTTTCTGCTTGTAAAGCGGTTGCCTAATGCCCCTTTGGTGATTTTAAGATGGATTTTAAATCGCACAAACACACAAGAACAAGATGGAAGTACAAGAAACGTGTAGGTAATCAAAGGCTGCCCTCATTTTATCATTTTGATAACTAAAGGGATGCTAAAGTACAACCATTTACTCCAGCTTTTTGAACAGTAATGCAACTCATTAGTTGACAAGCCTTATTTAATAAGTGTTCTAAAATCTGTACTCTGAGTTGAGCTACTAGTTTCACAAATGAAGCAGAAGACTGTAGGAACAGTGTGTCCTTGATTATTTGTCTCGATGACAATCAAATTATTATGAGTCATACTGTGTTTGAACATACTCTGAACATTGTGATTAGTGATGTGTCTTATCTTTGTGGTGACCTCTTTTTTTTTGCTCTGTCTTTCTCTCCCTCTGTTAACTTTCCATGCTGCCTCTGTGTTGGTTGTTTTGCCTCTCTGGTCAGTCTGGGGCAGGTGATTAGCATATCTGCAGTTCAATCACTGAGGCCTTGTGTGCATACATGATGTGTGTGGTGGACTGATAAGCCAAATCGTACTAACAGATAACATCTTCCTGCGTTGACAAAGCATCAGAGAGATACAGTTTCCCGACTTAATGCTGGAGTGTGGAGAGTCTGAGATAGGGGCAAGACAAACTCATGAATTCTCTCATTAAGCTCGCTGTAATTGCACAAACCCAATTATTGCCTCAGCCTTTTGTGATCTTCAAAGCCAAGATGCTGCAAATGAAGCCTCGAACAAGTGGGTGAGGAGGAGGAGGAAGAAGATTCGAGGGGGGATGCGTCGGCAGTGAAGCTTAATGAACAATAAAATCGACAAAACGCTGGAAAACGCTGCGCTTCTTCCGCAGCGCTGTTAAATCTGTTGACATTTCATTTGGAGGGAAAGCAGTACAGTGTTATCCCCCCACACACACACTCCTCTCCCCAACCCCTCTTGAAGACAACATTGTGCAACAAACAAACGAGTGGTCTGAGGCAGCAGATGAAAGATGGGTTTACTAAGTCGCCCTGCTGTTCCTCTTTCAAGTTAATTAGAAATCACATTCTTTTGTTTCCCCTTCGCAGGCGTTTATTTACTTTCTCACTTCGACCATTAGAACAAATTTGCAACATGAGACACAAATAATTGGATTTGTCTCTGCGGCTGTCACGGATTGGGGAACATTTTGTTTTGATTTTTATTATAGTTCCTTTTCTCTGTTGCGTTGTGTTCTGTCGGCGGCTGAGTTTGCAGATTTGCTTACGGATATTTGATTTCATTTCTTGATTTGTGTTTTGCTCGCAATTAAGCAGCGCTGAGGAAGTTTAGCACTAAGTGATATGAGATTTTCCTGAACTTTTATTGCAAATGGAGAAACCAGAGACTCTCTTGTAACCTTTCTATGACCTTTCTTACAGTATGGACGCACGCCCAGTGACTGGACTTTCCTGGTGTAGCAGTGGGACACACGTGGAAAACAACAAGAGGCTGTACAAGACAAACTATTAGGCAACAAGCAAAGACATCATGTACATATATAAATAAGAAAATAATGAATGTGCAATATTTGCAGCCTAACTGCAATATGCTAGAAAACTACTCTGGCATTAGTGTCACACCACACAACTGTCCAAAACAATTAACAAAAGTGGGCTAATACTGTATAATGCAATACTTCACAATAACTTACAGAAACACAGCCACCAGGGCTTATTCTGCTGCCTCTTATCTCTTCAACCAACATGCAGGATACAGCTGTGGCTTCAACAGACATTTAACTCCAACACATGTAAAAGTTACAGAGGTTTGTAACACTTGTGTAAGAGTTACAGAACAGCTACAGTCAAGTTTGTTTTATCAAAGTTTTACTGTTTAGAAAGATAGTACAAAGAGAGCTTATTGTTTCTGATTTATGGATAAGATAAGATAACGCTTCATTGTCTGCTTGCACAGAATGTTGATTTACATTAAAAATCATGGTGGCGAATCACAGTGCATGAGTCGTTACATCAGTAATGTGAGGACATCGTCTATGAAAGTGTTCGAAGTCCATGTGCAGCCCAGGTCAGAGAATGAGTGGAAATAAGTGGGATGGGTTGCAGCATGCCTCCACTCTGTTCAGCAGTGATATAGAGTGAGGGATGAAAGAGTGTTGCAGTTTGGAACCCTACAACACTTCTTAGAGGGTAGAAGCTGATACTCTTCATGCAGGACATGAGAAGGGTTTAGGTTATACTTTTGAATCATACTCTGCAGTTCCACTAAACAGCTTCTTGCCAATGAGTTTTTTTTAGGTTTGACTGTAAATATTAATGGATGAAGCCTGAGTGACGTCACCCCTCTGTTCCTACAGGGGGCTCTGGAGGCTCGTCAGCAGCAGCCGCCATGTTGGAAATGCTGTCTCAGCTTAACTTTCAGTCTACCTAACGACAGGCTGAGAGCTGGAGCTGAGGCAGCTTTTAAGCTCTATGACAAACCATTACCACGCCCACCTGTCAATCTTGTCAGCTACACGCCTAACTATGGATAACACCTACTGTTCAGAATATCAAAACAGAGCTTTTAAAAAATAATTCACCCCTCGTACAATGTGTGCCAGTGATGACAATAAACATGTTGTAAACATGTTATTTACTGCTGTAAAAACAGGCTTTTTTTTGGCTGTGGCTGTATGTGACACCCGGTGTTCCTGCAGCCAGCCTCTAGTGGACACTCAGTGAACTGCAGGATTTTGCTCTTCCGCATTGGCTTCATTTTTCATGACTGGAAGCTGCTGCTGCTGCTGCTTGGGTTTGACAGGAAAAATTCAAGAGATTTAAAATCTGTTGACAAGGTATGGCAACCATTAAGTTAAACATGAATGACATACAGATGATTTTAATTATTTGATGGAACTGTCCCAAAGAAAAACTTGTCTTACCCTTAATATTGTCTGAATAAACTTCAGGGCACAAGATGTGTTCAGCTAAGGATTGCATATTTTCACTTATTTAGACATATAAATATTGTAAATGTTAAATTCTAATCTTCTGACTACTCAAACAATGTAAAGGGTCATTTTGATTGTTATACAATGGTTTATGTCCTGATGTTTTAACACTATCCAGCAATATGACTCAAGAGGGAGTGATGTACTGATTGTCCACATTGCTGCATTTCAGACATAGGCATGAGACATCAGGCTGAGTGCCAAAGAAAATCTCAGTCTGCAACATCCCAGCCTCGAGTGTGATATTGTTTTTTGACAACATTTCTCCAAGCAGCATCAAGTAGCTAATTGATGGAAACCCTGGCTGAGGCAGACTGATGCACGTCCTGAAAAGTCTTAGTAAGAGCTCTCATGAAATGTCTCTTGTCCAATAAGATTGCTTGGTCTGAATTAACTGTTGTTTGATGTTAAATATTGTCAATAAAATAATCATTTTGACCAAACATAGGGCTTGACCAGGGGAACTCAGGAACTACACCTGCCCTTTTATACTCACTAAATGTTGTGAGATAAAAAAGTGCAAAAATAGTATCTACAATGAGTAAAGTATTGTTCAAAGGTTAAGGCTCAAGTGAAGCCAGAGACTCCAGAAACACTTAGACAGTCTTAAATGATTCTAAGGATTGCAGCTATTTTCCTGACATCCATCCTACACACACGCACACACACACACACACACACACACACACACACACACACACACACACACACACACACACACACACACACACACACACACACACACACACACACACACACACACACACACACACACACACACACACACACACTTATAGAGACCTGGAATAGAACCAAAGCCATCAACATAATGGAGTCATAACAGAAAGCCATCAAACCGGAGAGCCTTTGGCTTTTTGGCTTTTGGCTTTTTGGCACACATGCATGCACACACACACATACACAAACATTCGCAGAGAACATATCTCTGGATACACTGTAGTGTAAATTGAAAACTCTGGAGGTATGTCCACTTCTAAATTCAGGCCTCATTAACTAGGATCTTATCTGCATATCGTCTTATCGGCCTGCCATAGTCTTCATCTTTGCTTGGATCAGATGCACATACATGTGTGTGTTTGTGTACGGTTGTGTGTGTGTGCGTGTGTGTGTTGGTGTGTGTGTGTGTGTGTGTAAAAGGGGGTGCCTAGTGGCATGCTGGATGATTTTTGGCTCGTTGCAAAGACAGCTCATTTTGGCAGCCGCTTGCTCCTTGTGTGTAGTGCCACAGCTGGTCTAGAGCCCAGCTAGAGTACTTACACACACAAACACACATGCACACGTTTTAAAATGCCAAATACCATCTAGCCTGCTTAATCTAGGCCACTGGTAAAATTACCAAAGCATGTATCCCCATATTTTATATTATAGTCCTAATTCCTTTCCTATCTATTGTTTGCTTTGCCCTTAATTAAATGCCCCAGCAGTTGGTCAATTATCATTAGCTATAAATGAGTTTCTCCAGCTCTTCACTCCATTATTCACCCACAGGGACCATTGAAATTACACCTTATCTAATCTAAATGACATCTAGACAGGTGAGGACACATTGCGTGATTGTTTAAGGGCATGTTGGATGTTAGCTTCACTGAAACTGTTCCAGAAACACAGAACAGCAAGTTTGAGTCATGATTCAAGTTCAATCTACTTTGAGTTGACAAGTGTTGATTGGAGTGTGCTTGTCATCACAAAAAGCTGATGAGCCTTTGAGGCAGAAATGTGTTACTTTGTGTTAAAGTAGCTGATGTTGTGAAGTGATGGAAACACTGGAACTGTGCTGACTTAACACAGTCAAAGTTGATTCCTTGCTATATTTTGATACAGTAAAGGCCGTAGTGATTTCATATTGGAATGTATTCTTTTTGTGTGTAACCCTAAGACGTGGAAACTACTAACATAAACTGTTTGCACATTGTGATCCCAGTCCCGCCATTATTATGCCTTTGTAATTAAACATTGCATCCGCAACTGAGTAATATTGGTGTCCCAGTATGTGGTTTCACATTGCATTATGGTGTATGGGAAGCTTGAGAGGCCGTGCATTCTACATAGCGGGGGCTTCACATACACACACACACACACAGGCATGCACACACACAGCACTGTTCCCCCTTGTGGCCTCCAATGTTACACACTGTCTTTCTCCCATTACGCCTCTGATAGCAGCAAAGGGGCAAGAAGATTTCGCTAATCCTCCTTCTACTGTATGTCACACATACAGAAAACGTGTGACAGGAGCGTAAATGTCCCGCCCTAAACTAGGAATCGGTAAGCGCTAAAAGTGTCAACAAATGCTGTTACATTAAACTCTACTTTAATTTTAACAAATTTACAGCAGGGCTTTGGTAGTTCATAATTAAATAGACAGAGACTTAATCAACTGGTAACTCACTGTTAGCAGGGCTATGAAAATATACATACATTTTGTTAAAATAATTTACATAATATGAAACATTTGATTCATGACACTAAATTTAAGCTTAAAGGCTTTATATGCAATGTTTTGATCCAGCAGATGTCGCCCTTGAGCACCAGCATGAAACCAAAACAACTCGCGCTGCATTGTTGTGTTAGCATGCTAATGCTAGCGATCTTTATTATGCTCGTATCTTCACACTGCATGTAAATTTACCTGAAATGAGTGTGATCTAGAAACACAGTTAAACAGTGAGTACAGTATGTTATTCTTCTTTTCTCTAGTCCCTCAATTAAACTACTTTTATACACAAGGGGATGTGCCGGACTGAAAAAGTGTATTTAGTTTGAGGCATAGTACTACTGGATTTACAAATACGTGGTGATTCAGTATGGTATATATCATGGATGTTTTCTTTGTTCCATTCTATATATGTATACATCCAAACATGCTCTTATCTTTGAGCCGTTTATTAAGCGTTTTTGGCATAACAGCTAAGTATTTGTTGCCAAAGTGTCTTGCTCTCTATTTCTCTTAGCTCATGGTGTTTTCCTTCTAGCTCCTCCATTTCTTCTATTCCCTCTCTCTCTCTCTCTTTTCCCTCTCTCCCACTCCCCCAGAGACACCAGGGACCCTGGCAGGCCGCTCCCATTCAGCCTGGAGACGCCAATGATGTTTTAATTGTCACTTCTTGTTAAGGCGGCCATGACATTCATGTGGGGACAGAGGGGAGGCGGTCGGCGTAATCAGAGGAAATGGAGAGTGGAGAGAGAGAGAGAGAGAGAGAGAGAGAGAGAGAGAGAGAGAGAGAGAGACAGAGAGAGAGAGAGAGAGAGATGGCACCCATTCAGCTCCTAAGAGTGGTATTTGGCTCTGAGCAGTATGCCTCCTTCTCCCTCTACCCTCTCTCTCACCCCGCCGGGGCTTGATCTGATTTGACAAGCGCAACGCTGTCATCTTGAGTTTGTCCAATTTGAAATTCTAATTAATGAACTCGGCGCCACTTTGTGTTTTTGTCGTTGTTGTTGTTGTGT